AAAGGAGACCTTAACTGAATTAAATTTACGTCCTTTGGATGTTGGCTATGAGAAAAAGTGTCTGCACTTGGAAAATTGCAATTTTGTATTACCTTTAGCTTTACCTTTAAGTGCAACATTTGTCTACATTTGATAAATAGTACCATTTATTTTCATTTAAATGTTTTGGGGTATTGTTCGATTGCCTATTAAATCGTAGCTATAAAACTTCTCATACTTTTTTTTTGGATACTAGCATTTATAAATTGGGTAATTTAAAATGTCCTAATAAAGTGCTTTATACGTCATAATATAAACGTATAATATATTTGCTCTAATAAAAACCTAATATATATTATGTGTTTTAATTATGAGTTTTTAATTAGCAAAAATGAAGCTTCCGGTATTAATCAACTCTTTGCTTACTAAGCAATTTAGTCATAATTTAATCGTTGTACAAAAATGCAGATAGTGTGAATTTTCCCAAAATGTCATTAAAATATGTGTGCAATATGCATAAAAATATACAATCATGGAAAATAATTATTTACAAATGGTTCTAGGAAAGCCTTTGTTTTTGCCTATACAAAATTCAAATTAACAAAAAATGTAGAATTTCTGTTATTTGACTGATGATAAATATTACAAATACAAAAAAGAAAAAGAAAAGGCCAATATAACCTTTGCTTATATTTGCATATATCCGATTTGTCATTTAAGTCATGCCTACACGACAAAACCCTTTCGATTTGCCAAGTTCAAAGTGCAAAGGTGCAAAGGACCAAAAGGAGACAACGACGTGGTGGGCATGCGACGAGCCCAACTGTGGAATCGCCAATGAATCGCTGGTCCAAGGAGTCCGCCGGCCAAGACAATGGGGCCAGCCTGCACTCGCTTTTCGAGATTCGCGCTTCGGGTCCTCGCTCGGAGGTCCTGCGAGCCTGCTTACGTCACAAAGCTGCGTAGGCGTCATCGTCGTGCGGCGCACCCATCGTCCTCGTCCCGTCCCCTCCGATTCCTCGGCTATATCGTTGCCCGATTCCCCGATTCCTCGGCTCCTCGGGCGGCGACATCGTTGAAAAACGACGCCAGGCAGGCGGTGATTTTCCCCATATGCCCCTGCTCCCAGCTCCCAGCTCCCCGTTCAATCCCCCATTCCCATTTCCCATTTTCCTGCTGGAGGGCTCGCGCTCTGGTTTCCCCAACTTTCTGGGGCTGGGGGGCTATCTCCTGAATGAAAATCCGTGGCTTCGATTTTTGTTGTTGACGTAGTCGTCTCTTGAGTCTGCGCCTGCGCCCTCGCCTGGTAGAATCATCTGTTCTTGTCCCCCCGGAACGCTAATCCCTTCCTGGCCACCCCGGTTCGCTCTGGGCCCAGCAAGTGCATTTGGCTTGTGGTAGGACCGTGTTTCGGGAGAGGGAGAGGGAAAAAGGTGGAAGTCCTGGCCAGGCTCAGCTGTTTGCTGTTGCCCGTCGAGTTTTCCAACGAGAGTGGAGACTTTCGGGCTGAGCAACAAATTGAGTATCCAAGCCGGCTTTTCGCGTGGAGACCTGCTCTCGAGGAGACCGAGCTTGGAAATTCAAATTATTAGTGATTTGGTTATATTACAGTTATGTCAACTAATAAAAGCCATAATGTATGCACATAAAAAAGAAAAAATGTAATTAAATTTTATTAAAACTAAAATAAATAAATAACTTGCTATTTATCACAATTAGTTATTATATAAATTACCTTAGTTATTTTTATTGGTGGTTGAAATGCCACCATGAAATTACCTAACCTAGCTTAACTTATTATTGCGAGTTGATATTATCATAAATTAAAAAAAGTATATAATTTAATCAATGACTTTTAAACGTTCTTATTCTTGTAAACTTTTTCATTTATATTCACCTTCTCGTCCATTCAAAACTCTCCACACAAAGGAGCCAGCCAGTTCCATTCACGCGAACCGAGCTCTCGATTCAATTCAATTCACCTCGGTTCGGTGCTGCGAATATATTATTGTTCGCTCGTAAAACGTAAAAGCCACAGACATTGTGACGACAACAGGACTCGCCTTCGTCCTCGGCCCGCCAGCCACGCCCCCCGCCCCAGCTGTTGAATCCTGCATGGGGCGTTTGCAACAGCAAAAACAACGGCAGAAATCGAAAAACGAAAAGCGAAAAGCAGGCTGCAAGCAACAATGACGATGTCGACTCTCTTCTCAGGACATTCTCCTTCATTCATGTTGGCTTTCACCCGAATCGGCAGGACCCTCCTGCGCGCCACTTCCCCTCCGTTCTCGATTTGGGCTCGGGTCGGCGGCTTTAATGACTTGCAATCTATGTGCTCACTTTTATTCACATTCTTATTTTAGTGCTGCTGCATGAGTTGTGTTTTGCTTTCTAGCTTGCTTCTAGTCGCTAAAGTGTGGGCGTCATCGTTTTTCGAACTTCGAAATGTAGGGGAAGCGACTCAAAAGTTCTTTGGAAAATAGCGATCTGCATAGGATGTTAGAAGGGGCGGAAGAACTAAAGAAAAAAACTAGATTGAAATGGGGGAAAAATGGAGTCCCATAATTGGACTTCTAGATTCCTTAACTTTTCCAAATTTAATCCGATTCCAAAGTGGCATACTTTTTAAGACATGTGTTTTGATTCTCTAAAAATCTGCATTTAAAAATGTCATTTTAACGTTGGTCAAAATTTTGACCCATTTTCATGTTAGTTATTACTAAGTTTTCGATGACTTGATAAATGGAGTCCCATAATTGGACTTCTAGATTCCATAACTTTACCAAATTTAATCCGATTCTAAAGTGGCATACCTCTAAAGACTTGTGATTCGATTCTCTAAAAATCTGCATTCAAAATTTTCAATTTAACGTTGGTCAAAATTTTGACCCATTTTCATGTTAGTTATTACTAAGTTTTCGATGACTTGAAAAATGGAGTCCCATAATTGGACTTCTAGATTCCATAGCTTTACCAAATTTAATCCGATTCTAAAGTGGCATACCTCTAAAGACTTGTGAATCGATTCTCTAAAAATCTGCATTCAAAATTTTCAATTTAACGTTGGTCAAAATTTTGACCCATTTTCATGTTAGTTATTACTAAGTTTTTGATGACTTGAAAAATGGAGTCCCATATTTGGACTTCTAGATTCCATAACTTTACCAAATTTAATCCGATTCTAAAGTGGCATACCTCTAAAGACTTGTGAATCGATTCTCTAAAAATCTGCATTCAAAATTTTCAATTTAACGTTGGTCAAAATTTTGACCCATTTTCATGTTAGTTATTACTAAGTTTTCGATGACTTGAAAAATGGAGTCCCATAATTGGACTTCTAGATTTCATAACTTTACCAAATTTAATCCGATTCCAAAGTGGCATACCTCTAAAGACTTGTGATTCGATTCTCTAAAAATCTGCATTCAAAATTTTCAATTTAACGTTGATCAAAATTTTGACCCATTTTCATGTTAGTTATTACTAAGTTTTCGATGACTTGAAAAATGGAGTCCCATATTTGGACTTCTAGATTCCATAACTTTACCAAATTTAATCCGATTCTAAAGTTGCATACCTCTAAAGACTTGTGAATCGATTCTCTAAAAATCTGCATTCAACATTTTCAATTTAACGTTGGTCAAAGTTTTGACCCATTTTCATGTTAGTTATTACTAAGTTTTTGATGACTTGAAAAATGGAGTCCCATAATTGGACTTCTAGATTCCATAACTTTACCAAATTTAATCCGATTCCAAAGTGGCATACCTCTAAAGACTTGTGAATCGATTCTCTAAAAATCTGCATTCAAAATTTTCAATTTAACGTTGGTCAAAATTTTGACCCATTTTCATGTTAGTTATTACTAAGTTTTTGATGACTTGAAAAATGGAGTCCCATATTTGGACTTCTAGATTCCATAACTTTACCAAATTTAATCCGATTCTAAAGTTGCATACCTCTAAAGACTTGTGATTCGATTCTCTAAAAATCTGCATTCAACATTTTCAATTTAACGTTGGTCAAAGTTTTGACCCATTTTCATGTTAGTTATTACTAAGTTTTTGATGACTTGAAAAATGGAGTCCCATAATTGGACTTCTAGATTCCATAACTTTACCAAATTTAATCCGATTCCAAAGTGGCATACCTCTAAAGACTTGTGAATCGATTCTCTAAAAATCTGCATTCAAAATTTTCAATTTAACGTTGGTCAAAATTTTGACCCATTTTCATGTTAGTTATTACTAAGTTTTCGATGACTTGAAAAATGGAGTCCCATAATTGGACTTCTAGATTCCATAACTTTACCACATTTAATCCGATTCTAAAGTGGCATACCTCTAAAGACTTGTGAATCGATTCTCTAAGAATCTGCATTCAAAATTTTCAATTTAACGCCCATAACTTTTCCAAATTTAATTCGATTCTAACGTGGCAAACTTAATTCGATTCCAAAGTGGCATACTTCTAAAGACTTGTGGTTTGATTCTCTAAAATTTCATATTATGAAAAATCACTCCAGTAAAACTGTCCTGCCCTCGGGACTAACCCAACCAGCGGATTCACTAAATTTTCCCACCATTGATTGTGCCGGCTGGAAAACACACCGATTCCGGGTTAAACCTGTGAAAAGTGCACTCAGTGATTGAATCGGCGGGTATTTGGGATTAGCGGGGCCACAGCTGATGACGGCTGAATGGGATTACCCAACTCAGTTCGATGCGATTCGAAGTGGGGAAATGCTCCTTCGGACGAAGGATCCCGACAGCCCACGCAAAGTGGCGACCGCAAATCATATGGGAGCTGGGAAGTGGGAAAATCGGGAGTCGACGATGCCGGTAACTGTAAAAAAGTGCGCAGGAGCAGGCGCTCTCTCTCTCTATCTCTCGTTGTCACTCTCTTCTTCGCCTTCGCCTTCTCTCTTCCCTTTTGGACTTCGGGAAAAACTCTACACATGCGGCTGGTTGAAAACAAGTGGTTGAGCGGGCAGAACGCTCAGTATAGAGCGAACAGTCGTTTTGAGCTCGACTTTTTCCCGCTGACCGAGAGCACAACAACAAGCTGGAGCTGGAGCTGGAGCAGAAGCTGAAGCTGAAGCCCAGGAAGAAGCAGTAGCAGGAGCAGGAGAAAGCGGAGAAAGGAGGCAGGCGCGAGCAAAGGAGAAAGAGAGAGAGAAAGAGAGAGAGCCGAGAGGACCCAGCAGCCAGAGGAGTGAAATTCGAGGAGGGGCGCAAAGGGAGTGGGTGTACGAGTGCCATAAAGTGGAAATACGAAACGCCTTGAGCGGCGGCAGCGACGTCGATTGCGGCAGCGACGGCGACGCCGGCAGAGGGACACGCGTCAGGCGGCCAAGCAAAAGGCAGACAAACAGTCAAATCCTGCTGAGACGACACGACGAGTCCTTGCTCGTCGGTTCAAACGTGCGGAACACTCTTGGAGCCAGTCGCCAAAAAAGCAAGAACACTAGAAGCCAAGCTAGTCCACAAAACACCACTCACACACACACACACTGACCCCCACAAACAAGGGAAAGTTTTCACCAAAAAATTATAATAAAAAACCAAATATATTTCCCAAGAAACCCAAAACAATATTTTGAAGATATATCCCTTATCCAAGTGCAGTGACTCGTGTGCAAAAGTTATCCAACCACAATCCCCCAAAAAGCAAGAAAACCAGTTCCAGTTAATTGTCCTCCCTCAATTGATGGCTAACACTGTGAATTTTAATTAATATACAACAAAAACGTAGTTTATATGAAAAACCAAAACGAAAACTAAGTGCCGCAAGCTGAGAGCGCTAAACACGAATAAGTGCTAAAAGTTCCTTAAACAAATATTAATAACAAAACGAAATAAAAAAACAAAACAAAACAAATTATTGTTACAACTACTTATAAAAATATACAAATTATACAACATCAATTTTCTTTGCATTTTAAACAAAAAGTATAAAAAGCGTTAAAAAAAAAGTGAGCAGCTCAAAACGAAAGAAGAAAAACCAAAGTGCCGCGGAAACTCTTAAATCTTAAGGCTACGTAAAAATACAAAAAACGAATGACTGTCCAGTGAAGTAGAGTGTGGAAAAAGAAAATCAAAATCAAAATCCAAGCCCCAAAATTAAATCTGAAAAGAAAGCCGACGGAGGACAGCAACTAGTTGTTAGTTGTTTAGTAGCTACCCCTGAAACTAGCGAAGGCGGGTCGTCAGAGGCCAACCAGGTTCAAACGGCCATATACCTATACCAACTCCGACTTCACCTACCCAGGCCCAGAACTCACCAGCCCAGAACCCAAACTCCCCGGCCAGCGTAGACAATTGATTATTGATTTTGTCTAAGGCAGCAAGAACTTCACAGCTTAACGCAAAACAAAACTTGGCAGCAGGGCAACAAAGGGCGACGAAAGGCGAGAAAAAACAACGAAGACCGGAGGAAAAACCGCACACACACGTTGAAAGGCAGTGGGAAAAACCGGAAAACTCGGATCGGAAGACTCCGGTATAGGCCAGTGTTGTGCAATGCCAGGCTTAGGCCGGCACAGTGTTGGTCAGCGGAGTGGGGCCTGAAGAAGACCCACAAAAGCTGTGTGAAAAAGAGCGGTCTAAACCTGTAAAGAAGAAACAATCTAAAGAGGGTACTTCCCCGACACCCCCCTAAAAACCACCTGCCACTCTATCTCCCCCCCACTGTATTTTTCCCCTGAATAAGCCACACCCCCTTAACTGCATTTTCCTTTGATCAACCCCCCGCCCCGATCAGAGCCGCCAAGATAAGCCGTCTAATCGAGAAGCTGCGACAGACGAACAAACGGAAAATGTTCTGCTCGCTGGCCCAGACGCTCTTCTGCGTCCTGCTCATCCAGGGCGGCCTCTATGCCCTCCACCTGAGCGGAAACGGCGGCGACAAGTCCCTGGGCGAGTCCAAGGCGGTCCAGTCGGTGCCCAGCCAGCCGCTGGGACCCTCCGCCGGAGGAGCCTCCTCCGCCTGGCAGACGGCCCCCTCGCAGCAGCAGCAACATCAGCAGCATCCCGGAGGATCTCCGCCGGGCAGTGGCTCCTCGCACGGCCATCGGTCGGCAGCGGCGGCCGCCTTCGATGCCACCACCGTGCGGCTGAACAAGGAGATCGCCGACATGGCCCAGTTGGAGCGGGAGCGCCTGATGCTCCTGGCCCGCGCCAAGCAGACGGCGGAGCAGCCGCCGGCGGGCAATAGCCACCGCGGTCATCCCTTCATCGCCGGCCGGATACAGATGCAGCCCAGCGAGGAGCTGGACGTGGGCGACTATCCCGCCCTGCTGCAGCAGGCCGCCCGCGGCTACATCTTCGGCAATGTCCAGAAGCAGCCCCCCACTCCGATCAGCCTGGAGCAGGATTACGAGCAGCTGAGGGAGCTGGAGAACAGGCCGGTGAAGTACTACGGCCGGGTGGTGCAGCCAGCGGAGAGGGAGGATCCGGCGGAGGCGCTCTACGAACCAATGCACTCCTTCGGCGACTTCGATGACTTCTCGGAGCTGGAGCAGGAGCAGGAGCCGCACATGGGCGAGGATGAGCTGCTCAGGGAGCTGGATGCCTACCAGTACCATGGCCTGGAGGAGGAGCCTCTGCCAGAGAATCCCTACCGCACGCTGGAGCAGCTGGAGCTGGCTGCACCCGACTCCCTGCAACAGCTTTTCGAGCAGGAACAGGAGCAGGAGCAGCGGGATGCCCCCTCCAAGGGAATGCACTCTGGCAAAGGCCACAATAACCCGGGAAACTACAACATAAGGGTTCAGCAAAAGTGGGCCAGGAAACGAAATGGCCAAGGACTCGCCCATAATCCGGAGGCGGAGAAGCAGCTGCAGCGCCAGATCTTCGCTCAGCACTTCAAGCCGCAGCGAAGTGGCAAGCTGTCGCTTTCGGCCAATTCGGAGGCCACGGCCAGTAAGCATCTGAAGCCATCCAGTCGATCCGGCTCCAAGGATACTGAGAAGCCCACTAACGAGCTAGGAGGCAGTGCATCCGCCGCAGGCTCAAACAAACAAACAACCGGCGATGGACTACCCAAGCAGCAGACGGAACAGCAGTCGCAGGATAAAAAGGATCCCGGCCACAAGCGATCCGGATCTGGATCAGGATCAGCGGGATCCGTGGGATCGCCAGGAGGCGGCTTTTTAGCGCCGCCACCAGTTTCCCACAGCATAGCCAGCCAGCTGATGCTGCGCACCGCCCGCGGTCAACGGCAGTACGATGTGCCACAAATCGGTAAGTTTCTCGATATTTACATGCATATATATTCCCCATATAGTAGGGGGAGGGGGTTTAACCCAGGGGGTTGCCATGGGGCAATCGATGAAACCAATCAAACGTCGCTGGTTTCAACCTGCGACCTTTAGCCGACTGTCTGGCATTAATTCGATCCAATCAATCCCCCACTTAACGCCATAACTACATAAGCCCCGAACCATTTCCTTTCATCGAATTAAAACTTAAAAATATCACAGAACGCTTACAATTTATTTCGAGACTTGGGAGTTTGAATTTAGAATTATAATATTGATTACATAACTTTAAAGCTATAAATAGTATAGTCTATTTATTAGTAATATTTATAAATATAAAGGAATGATTACTATTTAAACAGGTGACTTTAGAATTGTAAAACAGATTACTGAACCTCAGGAGTTAAGAACCTTAGAATTCAGAGGACAGAACTTTTATTTTATAGGGTTTAATTTAATAACAGAGCATATACTTTATTAGTTATTTCCATTATTACTACCCAAATAAATCTAAAATAAAATAATATCTAATTGAGTACTGAATTCAAAATTAATGTATAATTCCCATAGAACCAACAGGACATTTAAACCCAAGCATAGTAAAAACACCCCTTTAAACGTTTTATTAAAGCCCACTTCATCCTAATAACACTTGGTAATAATAGGCCATGGTTAATTTACAAATGCGTGTTAGTGGGTTAAAGAAAAGCCAGAATTTACCTCCAATAGTCGGTCAATATCTTTCCAATATCTGTGCTTTTCATGACATGCATATTTTATTCGAGTCGAAACGAATCGGATTGAATGGAGTGGAAGCCGCGTTTGACCCTCTGGTGTATGTACCTTAATTCTGTTTGTGCCTTTTGTTTGGGGTCGAAGCCCCAAAAACCAATTCGGCCAGGTCCCGAAGGACAGCCCATAATCGCTCTATTTCCGTGCTTATTTCTCTCTGCGGCGGTTATAAACGAGTATTCGTCTAAACAACCTTTGTGAACGAATATATATCCTGACGTTTTTCTTGGGCAACTCCTGCATATTTCATGATCCAAGGCGGTGCAGTTCGGCTGGCAATTTAATCCTTTTAGATGGACGGTGGGCGGTCGACTCGTAGGTCATCAATCATCAATCAGCCAGCGTTTAATAGATTGTCACTAAATCATTTGTCAACAATGGCCAAACACGGAAAAGTTTTTGCAGCTATTTTCGGTAGTTTGGCCAACTTTTCAGCCCGTTATTTTTGGCCATTGCATTTAGCAAATTAGTCGTAGGAAGGAACACCGGATGGAATGAGGCTGTATGGAAGTTCGTCCTTGGCTTTCCTCCACTTTTGGGCCGTTGTTAATCACTTGGCTGGCTAAATTACTTTACAACAAGTTTTGATGGTCGCCATGAATACGGAATGCGCTTAGAGAAAGTCCGGAGCGGGGCAGGATCGGAACTGGAGGAAGGCGACTGCTTTGGTCTCGTCCTGGCGGACAATCAATTTTAATTTTTAATTAACACTTTCAAGTTTAATGGCGACATTGTTATGGCCGTGAGCTAAATGCGATTTCATTGCTGGCCTGCACAGAAATCGGGCCGGTTGTTGGCCACTTCTATGCCAAGTTTGAGTTTTCCAAGCTTTTGGTAGAATTTTCCACATTTCGGATTACGTTGCTGTCAATTTGATATTCTGTTCAATTTGCTTCAATTTGCTTTACCAACAAATACACATCAGTTTGAGACTTTTATAATTAAAACCCTATTGAAACAAATTGAATAAACAGTAATTATGTTATCACATGAATTGTTATATAGGTAAGCTATTTATTATGGCTTATTAAGTACAAGCTAGATTTTCAAGTATATATTTACTTAAAATCTTTTTAAGTGTAACTGATTTCTTTACAAGAATCCTTCTGTAAGAACTAGTACAATTTGTTTGACACTTGATAAGCATGAAAACATTCTTCTTTGTTCTCTTGAAAAGTTCTTTGTTCTCCTTTCCCTGATAAATAAAATTAATTTTCAATTTACTATACGACAAAAGAGCTAAGCCGTAGGTAAAACAAAAGTGGGAAAATTTCCTGGGGCAAATTAGCCAATTAAATTAAATTGGACTAGTTTATTGTCACTACCTTGCTAGTCTTCCCATTTTCCGTTTACTCTTCGGATTTTCCATCTTTGAACAACTGATTTGGCAAGGTTTTTTGGCAGATTGAGAGATGTATCGAAAATTCAATATGAGACAATCAATGAGTTTTCATTTTATGCGCATGTTTGCACAATTTTCCTCATTGTTATGGCCGCCATTGCTTCTCCTCTCCCTCTCGCATTTTCTTATTTCGAATTTTTCCTTGCCAGCAGCTCCGCTTTTCCCACATTGCTGCGTGGGTATGTGTGTTTGTTTATTTCCGCATAACGTCATCAAGTGTCAGCTGTGAAAACGTCAACGCTTTGCCACCCGTCGCTCCCCACTTCACACTTTCGCTGGTAGTTGGGAAAATTACAATTGTCTCTAAGTGTTTACACTGGAAAACGATTATACGGATAAAAGGACATCGCCGTGAGACCCGCACACATGTGGCCAAAAAAACGAATACGGTAGCCCGGGATAATGTGTGTGTAATCTAGGGAGTTGAATCACTTACACTGGCTAAAAATTCCCCGAAATTTGTTATCCTTTTTGACCTTTTCCCTTAATCTAATGCTAACAACTTGTATAATTATTCTAAGTAATCGAAATTAAAAGCATTATTATAATAATAGGTAAATTTATATTGGGTGCACTATAACTTTTTTTTAGGTATAAGTTTTTTTTAAGTATTTAAATAGACATTTTGTATAAAAGAAGAAAAATAGTAGAAAACATTTCCAACACGTATGAAATACAATTGCGAAATAGCCAAAAATTCTTGCATTTAAAAAAAACTGTTCTTCAAAAATTTTTTCTTAAATCTACTTAATATATTTTTCTGAGTAACCATAAATTCCGGTTTCGGTGGCTGGTCCCTGACGACCAAAAGAGTTTGCTTCTGCGCCAAAAAAAAAAACCAACAAAAAAATGGGAAAATGCTCCCGAAAAATAACTTCAATAAACCCGACGCACATTTTCCCGGGAAACCTGCGGCTGCGTTTACAACTTGACATCATTAAAACGCGTTCACAATTTACGATCCTGCTGGTCCGGTTTCCAGCTAATTTAGTAACAACACCCAGGGGGTCTGAGGCGACCGGACAGGACAGGACAGGACAGGACGCCTCCGTTTGACAAGTCCTTGCTCCCACGCCCATATCCTGTGCGTGTGCTCCTGCGGGATTTTGTATGTGTATGTATGCGTCTATATGCGCACGCCTTTAGTTTTTCCTTCGCCCTCAAACTAACATTTTCATACCCCGGCGGTTGATTTAATTTGTAATTTGAGGACCGCTCGGTCCTCAAGTGGCCACTTGGCGGCGAAAAGATCATCGATTTGTGTGGACCTTCCTCATCGACGTCTCCTCGCTCCTGTCAAATATTACGCAAATTAGTTGGAAATGGATATTGGAGATGCGTCTATCAGCCAGTCCGTCCGTTCGTTCGCTTGTCCGCCCGTCTGTCTGTCAGTGGCCGCCCTCGACCTTTTCCCATTTTCCGCATTTTCCGCGTCATGTGCGTGGGCGGCTGCAGGCGAGCGGGTGGAAAATTTCACCACAGCGACAGGTTGTCTGCCGCAACTTGTGGGTTCCATCTCCTTCCACTTTGCCGCTTGTTGTGTATCTCAATAATCGGCCATGGATATGCAAATGGCCGGTTTCCAGGCCACTCGACTTCTGGAGCGACAGATCAGACAAATTGGACTACGAGGGGACTTCGCAGACAGATTGGTTTCCTTAGAGATCCTTAACCCTTGTTACTCCTTTACTACGCTAAGAAATACATAGCTGTTTGATTGAGTTTCGGAGGTAGAGAAATATTTTTATAGTAATCTATAATAAAGAACCTTTCAAAAATGTTATTACGTTGGTACGTCATATCCATCGACTTTGTTTGTCAAATTTCTTATTTTTGGGTATTTATTTTTAAAACAATTTATTTGACAGCAATGCCATTGGCATTGTCCTAAATACACTTTTGACATTTTCCGGAGGCGCCTAAAATATTCTCGTTGCCACTTTGCCCATCCCTTGGCTGAATGATCCTGCATTTTGGGCCTTAAATCTACAACCTGGCCTTTGGCTAATTAGGAGGCAAAGGCCCATTTGCATTTTCCGACGGCCAAATGAACTGGAAGCAATGACGCCCCGGACACGCCCACACACTGAATTTGTTAATGAGGTGGACACAGTTTTTGGGCTCGGACCGTGTTTCGGCCCGGCAAATTAGCCTTTTGACTTAATGCACTGGCCAAAAATAAACAGAAACGTGGCTGGAAGAAGATGAATCAATAAACAATGACATCATCGCCAGCATCCAGTCAGTCAGCCAGTCAGTCTGTTAGTTTGTCAGTCGGTGGGGGGACTTTAGACCCTCTGGACTGCATATATAATTGTGGCACACGACAACAACGAAGCTGGGGGAAAATATTTACATTAGCGTAAGCACAGGACGAGGGGGTGTGAAAGGGGGGGAGGGGGTGGCCCAAAGGACGCGGCCATTGAGCAGGCCAATTGTCTGGGTGAGAGTGTGCGTGATGGTGGCCCATTCAGCCAGTTTGACGACAGCAGCAGCCCAAAAGCTAGCCAAAGTTTTGCTTTCTTCTTACGTCACAGAACGCCTGTCTGGTTGCCGAGAGACTGACACACTTATACCCACACACCATATACTATATCCCACATATATATATAGACATATATATATATATATGGATAGAGTACTCTATGAATCTGGCCAAAGTGGCTAAAGGATTGTGGCATGCTGCTGAATAAACATGGCCAAATAGCTGCGAGCACTGCATAAATATCAACTATGGGGCAATAATGAACCACACCAAGGCGGAGATTTTTGGCCAAAATCTATAATAA